GAGAGGGACAGGATGTTTTCACTAAGAGGGTGGGATTTACTGCTTGTCTTCATCCACTTAAATACATCATTAAGGGCAGAACAGACAAAAAGAAAGCGGCCTTGGGAGCTTTTGGCCAGTAATCCAGCAGCCTTAATCCTCCTGCACCATTTCTCTTCCCTTGGTCTTGGGGGAAAATGCCGCGCTTTTCTCAGCCTTCCTGCTGTTACAAGGGTCTTGGTCAGTAATCCGGGGTATCTTTTGATCTCCTTTTTTTTTAACTTGAAACATGGAGGTAGCTAATGACAGGGCTGTGGTGTTTGCAACATAAGGTTTGCAATGTTCTCCATCATCACGTGGTATACCCAGCAGGATTTGAGAGGAAGGGGTACCCCCAATCTCTATTGCAAACCCTAGACTATTGTTACCTAACATATCCACCCTAGATATCTCAAAAGAATTCCTGATATTCTGGTTACACGATGACCAACACAAAGGAGGGGGGGGGGCTCCCTCCATCTCATATCGTGCTACATGTGTCAAGTGGTCATACTCTGTGGATCAAACTTTTTTGATGATTCAAGCCAACAGCAAAAAAATGACCCTTTCACGCTAGATCCAAAAATCTCTGTGCCGGACCTGCATGGGTTGAACCCTGAGATTTTGACAACCCCTTTTAACTTAAGGCTGCCCCGATTATACTGAATACTTGATCATCAACCAAATATTTGATTAGCTTTTTGCTAATTTGAATATTTGAAAACAAAAAACTACGCACATACAAACACGACTGTGATGTAATTTTATCATAAAAGTTGCGGCGCTTTATTGTCAGGAACCACCTTTTTGTCGACAGTTGCTTTTTTGGTCAACGGCGGTTCATCGTTCACAACCTTTTACTTATAGCCCTCTACAGTTATAAAAAATACTTACTGTAAAACACTCATGCACACCCATATATATCGACTGCCCTATGCAAATTTTAACCGGCGCACTCTTCGTGCAACATTTTACCGGCACAGCACGCAGCTGCAGCTGACAGTTTCAAATATTTGAATATTCGGTCAAACGCCGTTTGGAGTAATCGAATACAAAATTATTTGAAAACGGACAGCCTTAACCCCTAGAACCTTTCACACTAATCCAAAACCGCTGTGTTGGAATTTCAGGAACCCCTTTACTTGGACTCCAAGCAGTACATGTGCCTGCAAGGGAAATACCACAATAGCAAAGTGATGTACGTGTACATGTGCGCTTCCTGCCAGGGTCGTATATCTCATTAATTAGAGCTCGCATTCTTAGCATTGTACAGGAAGTGAAATACGTTAATTGCTGTCACAATGTTAGCATTCGTGAAGCACATGGAATTCCAATGGTCATGATGTGCTTGATCAAAGTTGTGCATTGCCTATATTTTCCCCTGCTCTGAAGTTTTGCTAAGATTTGAGCAGAATGTTCAAACCAATTTCTTTTTTCAAAACGGTACTCAGTCTCAGATCAAAAGGAATGTTTGCAAACTCCACAAATGTAGTTAGGAGTTTTTAATTTTAATCCTTAAAAATGCAACATTTTCTACAGCCTGTCTCCAAAAAAATGGTACAATCGAAAACGATTTTTTTTTTTCAATATTAAAACTCAACATAGGTAAGTCGTTTTGAGCATCACATTCAAGAAAAAAGACCAGGCTTTCCAATACTTTTTGTTTCATCTCATTTGCTTTTGTCAATCCAGAGATAACTCCAGTTTACTGCGGAACACAAAAATCGAGTTTGTTTCTTATGCCAAGTTGCAATCTTTTGTGAGCTTCAAGACAGCATGGCACAGTACTCGAAACAAATCTGCCCATGCATAAAAGTGGCACAAAATCAATTTTGGTGTATCGCACTAAATTGATTATATCTCTGAATTGACAAAAGCAAATAAGATCAAACAAACACTATTGGAAAGCCCAGTCTTTGTTCTTTAATATTATGCCAAGTAAGAATGACTTATTTTGAAATTTCATATTTAACCAATTTTTTTCTGATTGTACCATTTTTTTTGAGGCTGTATTTCTGTTTTGGATTATTTTATGTGTAGATAACACAGCAAGTGTTGCATTGGAGGAAACACAGGACTTGTCTTCCATCCCTTTAAAAAAAAAAGTTTTTAAATTGGGATATCTAGTAGTCAAAAGTTGGTGCTCACAATTATCGCTAGAGCTGTTAGACTAGAGTGTGGGTGGTCAGAGTTGCTGCCAAGCATGATTTGGATGAGAGTTAAGAATTAGATCGGACAAAACTTTTTTATGGGTTCTTCCACCTACGTAATTAGAGACATAAGCAGCTAATACTTATACCGAGAAAGCTCCAATGCCTCAGGGTAAAGCAATTAATTACAATCCTTAATTAGCACGGGTAAATAATGTTGAAAATTTTAACAAGCTCTAATACACTGTTACTTTAACATTCTGGAAACCCTTCTAGAAACCCCCCCGCTACGCTGTTATTAATTGATGTTTGTATTTACCCAAATTATCTCCACAAAAGATCGCTTTAGTATCGCCGCGACCACCAGCGCCCGACGACGATATTTGCACTCTTTTGACCTCCCCCCTCAAGCCAAAGCACAAGGCTAGGTTAGTGCCTCGCCTGTTCCAAGGTCTACTTTCGGAACAAGAAAAAAAGAAGAAAAGAAATATTCTGCTCTACAAAACACGCTGGGCAAACAGCCCCGGCTGCGGCACCAAATAGGCTCAATAACAATAACACGGTTCAGGAACTCCGCAAAGAATCCGATAAACTGGCGAGCCATTTCCAACAAGGGGATTACATGGAGCGGAATTCCGCGGGGACAATGGGGACCGGGGAAAACAGGCGGCCCCCGGCCGGGTGTATTGTCAAGCAGCTATGTTTGGATACAAAAAAAACGACACTGCGACCCTATTATCACTAGCTTTATCTTCAGGGGGCATTACGGAAAAAGGAACGGGGCTCGAATGTTCAAACTTCCTGACGCAGCCGTGCAAGATTGCTGCGACAAATTGGTAGGCTCCCAACCCTCCGTGTATAGGAAGCCTGTAAACTGTGGAAGCCCCACCATGCACTGTTGAAAAGACAGGAGAATTCCCGGGCGGCTAAGAAAAGCAAACACGGAAGAAGCCCCATCTGACAACAAAGTGTGCAAATCCAACATGGAACAAGCCAATAAAGGGCTTGATTTCTTACGATGAGGACTAGAACTGACAGGTTAAAAATGAAGAGATTTCCACGATGCATGTACCTTCCATTCAAAAGTTGCACTGTTAATGTTTAAAATGAAAAATAGAACATACACAGTTTAACAGCTGTTTCTAAACTACATTTTTTGCTTCACTGTATTTTCAAATTATAACTGCCGTAGAAACTGACCATGGCAACCAGGACAAAACAGGATTCTAAAAGGTACCAAAATTTTTCAAATTCTCACTGCCATGACCTGATTGCAAACAAAAATCCTGGTATGAGACTGACCAAAAATGGGGGGAAAAGAGTTTTGAGGGTCAGCCAGGGCCCCAGAGGAACGTATCTTTGGAGTATGTTTTATGTTTGTATTTGCCCAAAGCATAGGCACCCATTAAATTTTAAAATACAAATATCATTTATAGGTCATGTGAAAACACCTATACAGTAAAACCACTGGAAAATTCCAGATTTCAAAAGGGATTCCTAACAAAAATCCTGAAATCAGGGGAAAAGTCCTTATAAGACAACCTGAAATCTGGAAAAATCCGGACAAATCTCACCCACGAAAACCTTCTAGTCTCTGCAGGGGATGAGCCTAGTTTACCCCCTTGCGAAAATAAAATCTTACAGAGAAGCAGCGGCCTCCAACGGGAGGGAAAAACCTCCCGTAAAGACTCAGGTGCAGAGCAGGTGAAATAATCAAGCGGGACTGCTTTATGATGGATTGATAGGCCCCAACCAAGCCATCCAAACAATGCAAGGTCCGGACGTTCTCTTGAGAAAATATGTAGAGACCGGTTCCCTGACGGAGGCCTGATATACCCACAAAAATAAGGACGAACCTTATACGACAATATTATTCTTCTAAACAGGGCTGTGATGGTATACACCATTAATAATCCATCAAGGGGAATGGGACGCAGATTTAGTTGGGGGGGGGGGGGGTTGGAAGGGGACATGTGAGCAATATCAATACCCAGGTATTAAAACCAGGAACTAATGGAGATTTGAAAAACAGATCAAAGTATTTAGGTCGGGGCTTGACAAGAAAGCAAGGACCTAAGGATTAAGGTTTGCGTCCTTGCTCTTGGGTTTGACACAACACAGATGCCGACAAGGATTGTGGTGTGGACAGAATAACATTTTCTTTCTTGCTTTCTTTTCACAACAGCTTGATGCAACAGCCTCTTATTGCACTGTCAACACTGTAACCTCGATGTGAGAACCGCAATGCCAACTACCAAAACAAAATTGCCCATGGCAAATATCGAATCCAACTGTGCCAATTGTTACTGCATAGGTCCAACAAACAGCACACATTCATTGATGAGTGCATGAATTGTCCAAATTGCATACCAGTTATCCTAAACTCCTTCCCGCATCAAAATTTAAGCAACTGGCCCTTTCACATTATCCAAAATCTTTATGTTGGACTCGGATCGAACCCCGAGTTTTGGAGACCCCTTTTCACACTAACAAGACAGGTCAAGACATGGGTAACATTCAACCCTGGTTAGTTGGTGAGAGGGCACATGCCACAGATCTTCCCATCCCCCCCCCCCCTTAAAATGTTGAATTGAACAAGTAAAATATAAAATTTGCCTCCAGTGTGCCCCTACCCTCTGACAAATGTATGTAACCCAGATGCCACCCAGAATTTCAACCCTAGTAATGCCACTGGTCATAAGTTAAAGCAAATGTTGGCTCTGAGGTTAGCGTACCATTTGCTATGGTTGCTGCTTACAGAAATTAAGGCTCTGTAAGCAGAACACCATGTGCTTGGCTTCTCCAAGAAATTTGGCCCTAGTGTCCACTCACCTGTTCTGTGTTCTCCGTGCATGGCCCACACTGGCCCCTGTCCTGCGCTGCATTGTACGCATAGCATCCAGGAAGCGACACAGCTTCGACCCACGTGACCGACTTCAAGATGCTCTCGTCCGCCCAGCTGCACACGTCCCAACCTGCCGCGCACAAGGAGCTGGCGTTGCGGACGTGACCCTGCCAAGACCCGGAGCAGGCTGCTAGTCGGTGACTGGCTTCAAAGCCCACCGTCACGCCATTTGAACAACCTGGGGTTGAAAGAAGTTTGATTTAATTACGGTTTTAAAAAAAATTAGTAATCAGTAATCAAAAAAAATATTTGCAATTTCACATGAAGCCAAGTTGCTTATTTAAAACTGAGTGACCATGGGGATCCAGAATTTAAGAAGGGGAGGTTGAGGTGTTGACTATTGAAGGCAATACATTCAGAGACCAATTCAACCACTTTGAACCAAACTTTCCAATATTGTTAAGACGTTCTTTCAGGAAATGGCATTTTGGATTCTCTATCTATTATATCTGTGCCCCTGCACACGGTGTCTCAACAAAACCGTGATAGTTAAAACGAGGTGAATTAGCCTCAAGACCAAGTAATGGTAAGATGTGCTTTCATAGACATGAGGCGACGATGTGAGCTGTGTATTAACAAAAATGGTGGTCATGTTGAAGGCACAGGACCACAAATTTATCCTGCAACTCCCACAAAAATGAATTTAAAGATTGTTAGTGATCAGAAAGATCGTCTCATTTCAATGAAGCACCTAATCATTATCCCTATCACCACTTTTCCATTGTACTAACTTGTCGTCACAGTGCTGATTTTGACCGCTTTCATAGAGTAGAGGCCTTGTTTCTTCATTCATCCATGACAATGACGTAATCAAAATTAATATCATTGGATAGAGGACACTGGCCTAAGTTGTTGCCGCTTTCTGAAATATTCAGGACATTACTGATAATTTACATTTAAAAATGGGCATACTTTATTTTGAGACCCCCCATATGAAGGCCTTTTAACACAATAGAGGGAAATGGATCAAAGTGCAAGTGAGTTGATGATGTACTGACAGATTTACTCTCTTCAAACTATCTTCTAGGCTGCAATCATGTTCTGGTAGGTAAGGCACTCTCTACCCAAATGTATGCCAAAACAACCTTGGGTTTGCTAGGACCATTTCCCCTCAATTAAAAACAAAAAATATGGTAATTTACACCTGCAACTTGACAGCATTTTTCTCAAATCTACCGCAGGGCACTGCTTGGGGTAAAAACCGCACTAAAACCTGGTGGCTAAAACAACATCACACCACATTTTTGTTCTTGCTCGTACCGCAGCGCTGCGATATAATATGCAGCATGCATGATTGCAAAAGCTCCATTAGGCCGACATGCAAAAGTGCATGTTGAGTAACATTCTGAAAACAACAGGGTTGAGTCTGATCGTTGGAGGAAGGGTTGGGGGAAGGAATAGCTGATTGGGAGGGAAAGGGGGGGGGGGGAACCAGCACTGACCATTTGCCAGCAATAAAGAAACAATCTCCAGAGATTGTGTGTTGTGTGTCAGCTAACACTTCCCAACACCGGGGACCTTACCTCCCCTACAGAGGTATTTGGATATTGGGTAATTATTCCCTCTGGAGGAAGTCCACCCCCTGTCATCATCCTTGATTTTTTTTTTTTTTTATGAGCTGTGTGTGGTTTCTGTTCTGATTCAGCTTGAAGGTTTTTTTTAACTGTGTTTTGTCCTTAGCAAGGAAGAGAGTCTAGTCCAAGACAGGATTCTGAAATGTTGATTTTGTTCCCCTATTAATACAGACAGTCCCTGACAAGCGTGGTGAAGTTGCTGTAATGGTAGGGCGCTAGTATACAAAAATTGAATGCTTCGAGTGGTGTAGTAAAACTAGCCTCCCGAGGTGATCCATGGACATTCTATTTTCCCGAGGCGAAGCCGAGGGAAAATAGAATGGTCCATGGATCATCGAGGGAGGCTAGTTTTACTTCACCACGAGATAAAGCATTCAATATTTGTTTTATAACACTTCACCCACAGATTCTGCTTGATTTTAATATTTTAAATTATTTAAATCTGAACACAGTTGAAATAAACTTCAATTTCAATACAAAATTGGTGGAAAATGTATTTCTCTCTTCCAAACTACCCCTTCACGAAATGTTTGAACCCAAGTCTGCGGCGCGCTCTCTTTGGAACAATACACGCTACGCGCAACGCGCACACAAGCATCCATTTGCACACAAATACCGCGCCGTGGAAATAGTACTTTGGTTGCCAATGGTATAGTACTTTGGTTGCTACGGGTATAGTACTTTTGACCGTGCACAGAAAGATAGCAAAATTAGAAAGTAACTGTGACTCGCTCTCGGCCAATCAAGACACAGAATCTGTGGGTGAGGTGTTATAATATCAACAAGAAGATGCATCAAATACATTCTTGAGAACTTTGACACTGGGATCCAGGAAATTCCGAGCACATCTCGCATGCTATATTCAAGCTAAAGTGCATGTGATCATGAGGTACACGTATGCCAAGAAGTTCTTGGGTGCAGTGCAAAAGTCCCATCCCCCCCCCCCCCCCCAATCCAAAATAAAGTTAACATTACCACACAATAACAGTATAGATTGCAATATGTCATCCATCTGAGACTTCAATAATGTGCAATGATTCAGATTTCAGAACGAATAAAAATAGGAAATACAGAGAAAAAACTCTCTGAAGTTGAAATTATCTACATCTCCCCCCCCCCCCCCCTTTTATCATGGGCCAGTGTCAGTGCTTGTCAAATGAATTGCCACATCTTCATCGGTTGGTGGTTGGTCTGCATGCATCCTGTGCAGCTGCAGTTACACAGACTAATTTGCCTCTTGGACTTTGGAGAAAAAAAGTTGGACTTTTTTGGCCACTGGATTGTTTGTTGTTTCAAAGTGCAGGCCCTGAAAATTACCACTCAAGAATTTAGTTAATGACTAAGAAGCATGTGTAACTGCACTTTTTTAAATAAAAATAACACCATTGATGGGTAGACACAATAGTGGGCTGTAGGAGAAAAAAAACCTGAACTCCCCTTCACTGATTAATCACTTAGGACATAATGCAAAGTAAACATCAACTTCCTTCTCTTGAAAATAGTCTTTGCAATGTGCTGTTTGAACAGTGTGCACACAAACACACATACAATGCACAATCAAAATGGGGCCATAACCACAACACTCTCAACCTAATTGTGTGCCAACAGAGGAAAATAAGCTTAGCTGGGGGATAAACAAAAGAGTGCAAATCAGTTCAGTAGAGAGCATGGTGAGAGATAATCAAGGGGTTATCAAAAACTTCCTGTGTGCCCTAAATATTTGCCACCTCCTGTCCCAATCCACTTAGCACCGGCTTAATAGAAACTTCTGTCCACAAAGAAGGGGTTCGGATTGCCACACATTGGGGCCTGAGGGGGCTAACATGTGCCTCAGGGGTGAACATATAACTGGTGCGTTATGGAGCTGTGGATTATCACATTACTGACAGTCGGTGGAGTACATGCTTCATATAACAAGAGAGGCCTTGATGTCAGGAGAGATTATGGATGATAGGCAAGTGGCTGTTTGAAGGGTGACAAGGGTGGTCGGTGAAGCGCTGGAAATCTTCTTCACGGCCCAGCGCCTTCGGAATTAAACTCACAGGAGTCGCTCAGGCGGATATCCTGTTTCATAAAGCCCGGAATGAGGAAAACAGCAACTTTGGGGAGAAATCTGTTTTCATTATGCGTTTTCAATGTGTCTACGGGCACTGGTGCGCGGTCTTCAAAAGTATGAAAATTTGTTAACTCTAATAGCCATGGATCTGCACAGTCTGTGAAAGTCCTCCTTGTAAAATTGTACACAAATCATGCATATCGACTTTCCTGGAGTGAGTAGGGTCACATCTGGTTATTTTGTCAGTACAGCTTTCCTCTAATTATACGTGTAAGTTATTCTTGAGGCAAGCAATTGTTCGTAAACGTCCTTGTAGTAGTACATGTAATGTACGTTCCTGGCAGCTAATTGCAATTGGCATGCATTCTCAAAATCTACAATAATTTTCCAATCATCTTTTTGTTTTTTAGCTTGTTCTTCTGTCCTAGAAAATGTTTCAGATCCCACGATGTTGTTGTATATGTTCAGAGATTTCAAGAAAAAAAGAGAATCAAAATAAAAAAAATCTTTCCCCCTTTGATTTTTAAAACGATTGAGGTATAAATTTTCAAGATGACTACCATCAGAAATTAAACCTGGAACCAAAAGAACTTATTTTTGCCCCTTTTTTGAGCATCTGAAACCCTAGAAAAAAAAGTAAGGTTCCTTTTTGTTTTGGGCACAAACAGATCCACTTTGCCAGCAGACTGGCTCTTAATCCGTTCATTAACGTACATCGTCTGGCAGCTAACAATTCAAAAAAAAGCATGGGCCAATTTTTTTCAGTTGATGTCGCATTCAAAAAAAGTGACTAAACATGGACCAATTTTTTTCAGTTGATGTCGCATTCAAAAGTGAATAACTCGTTCAACAGTGAATAACTTTTTTATTGCTAGAAAAATCCAAAACAATAGAAAAAGGGATCTATTTTTATGGATGAACCTCGAAAAATAGCATGGGGGATGCAATATGCATCATTACTGGGTTTTTTTTTACTTTGGCCTCGATTTTTGGTTGGATATAATAATTGGGAAGTTCTATTACTACACAAATATATACAAAGTTTCTTGATTTTTGTTGTTGTTTTTTTTGGTGTTTTTTGTTTGTTTGTTAGGGTTGTTTGTTTGTGTCTGGAGAATTGTCAGCGTTTGCATTGCAAACAGCGTCACTCTCTCCAGGTAAAATTAAAAGAGCAAAAAAAAATGACTTGATATGTGACTCATGTCCACAAGGTGGAAGACGTTATGGTGTCTTGTAACACCCCTTATGCCTTCCTGCAGTGCTACCCCCTGAATCCGGTGTGAGCAGGTGTGATATGCTTTCACATCACAATGCATCAGGTCTTCATAAGGCGCATTTTGAGCTGTGGGTGATCCAGGACTTTCCAAAGGGTGTTGGCTGGGTATTTTGTCTCCAAGGTTTTCTTGGGTGGGGGGACGGGTGTTGCAATCAACACATACAAACACAAAAGGCCTGAAGCAATAAATCAAGATTTATAATAATGAGCACTAACATCATTTAGAGAACTTAGATAAAAGATAATATACATTTGCAAACATAAAAAAACAA